TCCATCAGCTCAATTTTTTAACGGTCAAATTAATTATAATAATTTTTATTTGTGTGATATGACGTATGTAACTTGGAAAATATTACGGAAAATGGTACACTTGAAAAAGTTTGTGTACAACACCGGGAATCAGGAATTCACCTCTGTTTCCATTCGAGTAGATTTAAGAGTTGTTGTATCGGTTAGTCTATCATGGTGCGACCATATGGGTTAATATCCCTAACATGAGTCATCGTAAGTTCCTCTTAATAACTGATTTGTTATAATTTTTTCAATGTAATTATCTGATACGATGCGTTTGGCTACATATTTTTACGGTTTGCACACTATATGAAATATTTATCTTCCATTTAGAACAAAATAACTGGGAAAATGCCACTGAAATGTCAGTCCCGTGCCATGTCCTAGCGGATGTCTCTTGATAATACCTGCCATTTTTTCACCTGAAGTACTGTTTTGAAAACTTGATATACCTATATCGCAAGTATGCACATAGCTAACCACAATATAGAAAATTGGTAAAACAAAAAGAATAATTAATTTAGTAATTTTTCGGAAAGCATTTGTCTCCAGCTATCTGGCCAGTCCCGTGCCGCGCCATATATCACGCCATAAAGTAGTGGGGGAAGGTATGGTAAGTGACATCCGTATTATCCCAACTGGAAATTGTTAGTATTGGCTCAATCGTCGGAAGATGTGCACAGATTACTGATAGGTTAAGCAGGAACTGGGTCCGACAAGTAAAAAAGTGTCTTGGAAACCTGTTTCTTGTCAGTACCGTGGTAAGTGTTTTAAAGCTACTATTTTTTCTTTTTGCTTCAAATACCCCATGAGTACTTCGGGTATCAAAAACCATAATTGTCATACTAAAATTAATTAGAAATTTTGAACCGAATACTTTTTTTGTTGCTGTAAGTGCAATAATGTCAGTCCCGTGGTTGTAAGTCCCGTGTCATTGCGAAAACACGGAACTGACTTGATTCCATTTTTTCTCTATAAAACTATAGCAAACATGCATTGATGCAAGTATTTCTTACAGTTCACAGGTCTATCTACTAGTCTATAGCAGGGTGTAAGATGTCTGAACATAGGAAAATATCTGATGAAGAAAGAAAGCGTATTAAACGTGACCGGGAACGGGAACGGAGGCGTAAAATAAGAGAAGATCCGGAAAAACGTGAGGAGCAGCGGGAAAAAGAGCATCAGAAATACTGGCGTCAACGAAAGAATAAACAAAGGAAGCTTGTTTCGGAAATGACAGAAAGAGAAATTAGATCGCAACGCAAGAAATGGAGACAATATACAAAGTCTCACCGAGATCGATTAAGACTAAGATCATCCGAAAACGCACATGTGCCAGATCATTTAACGAAACAGTTAGATGGAAGAAAGGAACATGCAATAAAGAAAAGTAATAGAATGAAACTTAGCGACATCGAGAAAAAAGAAAAAATGAAGCTAAAATAGCAGACCTTAAAAAAAAAGTTGGAAAGTGGAAGAAAAAGTATTCTCGCCTAAAGAAGTCAATGCATCAAAATAAAAATGTTGCTCAACAAACTAGTTCCCCATCAGTTTCACCTGGAACTAGAGTACAACAGATCATAGAAAGGTCTTCAATACAGCAAAAAAGAGTAGATGAAATTAAAAAACAACTTATTTTTGGGGAGACCATCAAGGACCAGCTGTCAGAGAGTTATAAATCGTTAAGCCCAAAAGAAAAGAGGGTATTTAGGAAAATAATGGATGGAAAAATTATTAAGAAGTACAAGCTTCAGCGAACGTGTTCCAAAGTTTTTCGATATACAAAAACAAGAGTAGTGGAATACAGCCATAGGAATGTAGATGTTAAGTATCAGAAAAACCGAAGAGCATCTGAAAATAGGAATAAAATTGTGGCGTTCTTACAGGAAGATGTTAATAGCCGGATTTGCCCCGGTAAGAAAGACTATGTTACAAAGAATAAATTCACCTATCAAAAAAGATATTTAACAAACACTTTGAAGAATTTGTTCAAAGAGTTTTGTAAAAAATACGCCGATGTCAAGGTGAGTTATACATTTTCCTGTAAATGTAAACCTTTCTGGATAAAGTTTATGAAGGTAGCAAATCGAGACACATGTAAATGTATGACACATAGTAACATGGAGTTGATTGTATTATCTCTTTGGCAAAGTAAAGTGTTGCATTGCAAAACTACAGAAGCAATAATTGAGTCAATGACATGTGAGACCCACAATGACCTATGTCTACTAAGGAAATGTTCAGTGTGTGCATTATATAAACCTAAATATATTGAGCAGTACGATCCTGGTAACGTTGTATCATATAGTCAGTGGAAAAACATAAAACAAACTTATTTCAGCAAACGATCACAAAACAACGTTACCAGTTTGAAAATTGCTAAAATTAGTCAAGAGATAGAAATATCGGATCTTTTGACCAAATTTGAAGATAGGTTGCCTCTTTTTTTGGCACACGAGGGATGCATTTTTCACCAATACAAAGCAATCAAGACACTGAAACAGAACATGACAAATGAGGAAATACTCATTCACTGTGACTTTTCTGAGAATTATAATCTAAAGTACGCAGAAGAAGTCCAGTCTTATCATTTTGGAGGATCAAGGCAACAGATTACGTTGCATACTGTGGTAATTTATAGCCGAGCACACGAAAACGACCTGAAGGTTGACAGTTTTTGTACATTATCAGAGTCGTTGGAGCATGGTCCCGGTGCCATATGGGCTCATCTGTTTCCACTGATCAAACTCTATATTGATAATGGGGTAAAATTGTTGCATTTTCTTAGCGACAGCCCCAGTACACAATACCGCAACAAGAAAATGTTTGCATTCATTACAAATGGCATCTATAGCTACTTTCCGGAACTACAATCAGTTACCTGGAACTGCCATGAGGCCGGACATGGTAAAGGTGCCCCGGACGGCATTGGTGGAGTTTGTAAAAGGACTGCAGACCGTATTGTTGCTCAGGGATCTGATGTGAGTTCTTTCAGCCAATTGGTTGAAATCCTGAAAGCCAACTGCTCAGGCATATCCTTTTTGGAGATTCATGCTTGTGAAATTGAAAAATTTTCAGATGCTATAAATAAAGCTGAGGTTCTGCCATTTAAAGGAACTTAGAAGGTTCTTTAAGTAAGATCTCTAAGAGACCACAACACACTATCTCTAAGAGAGCTCTCCTGTTTCGACTGCGGCGAAAGATGTCTACATTACACTATTGGAACTTTATCTTATAATCCGGTAACGAAAAGTTCTGCGTCTGATGAAGAATTATACATTTTTGACAAAGGGAATAAAGCGAAGCTACATTACTACAATGTTTACAGTGAAAGTTCTTCAGATGATGATATTCCTTTGTCCGAGTGGAAAAAAAATGGTCAATTAGCAGCAGAGTTTCCAAGTAGCCGCTCAATATAACGTTATGTTTTTGTTTCAGAATACATTATTTGAGTTTATTTTGTACCTGACTATTTTTTAATAAAAAATGCAAAGCATGTTTGCTATCCTGCTGTTTCTTTGTCAGTTCCGTGTAACCGTGTCAGTCCCGTGTATTGAGATTTTTGAAAAATGTTAAATAATTCAAAGTATACAAACTAAAATCTCGGTTATTGTATAATTTCCAAACAAACAAGCCATACTGCATCGAGTAAATGCACGGTCTTCTAAATACTAGATATTTTTTATGTGGCACATTTAGAGGACTTAAATGTCCCAGTGTGGGGATATTGACCCATATCCAATACTCAACGACTAAACGGAGTCTGTACCTTATTGAGAGATCCTTCAAGGCCTATGACAGTTCTACTGCTGGTGTATCTAACGCTGCAATGTGACCTGAACCTGTTGGAAGATATGGTATCCAACGGCCTTGTTACGAGGAGAGGTTGAACTTAACTCACTTCTCCGATAGACGCTTACGAGGTGACTCAATAATCACATACAGAGCTTTGCATGGTTTCTTCGGCACTGACATACCTATCTTAACTTTTACGTCTCAACGCCAGCCACCTGCGAGGCCACAACTATAAACTAATGGAAGAGAAGTTCCAAACTGCACCTCGCCAATTTTTCTTGGCTAACCGAGTATTTGATACTTGGAACGGACTGCCCTACGCAGTTGTTAATACGTCCACAGTTAACAGGTTCAAGAATCGTTTCGACATGTTTATACCTTGATCAACTTTCCTATTATATGTAATAATGATAGCTCAGACTTCCGTGTATCAATGCTTTTCCTTGTTCTACTTAGCTTAAGTAGTTCAACAATCAAATCGACTACATTTATCTAACTCCTCGCAGTACATTAGTACCTATCCACCAGAGGCGGCTGGCCCTTAACTTCTGCAGAACTGCAGAACTGCCAAAACTTTTGTCTTAACAGAAAAAAAGCAGTAGTAATTTGATCATTATTTATTTTCCATGTTATCACACAAATAGAAACAATACCGGCCTGTTCCCGCAAGACACGGCGTCGAGTCTGTTTTGCAGCATTATAATCGACCAATTGTGTACTTGTCATTTTCGTCGCGACCGCAGCGTAACATTATTCATGGGCCACTTCCAAAGGGTCTGTGCAGTACTTCGACACAAGCCGCACGCGCTTGCTTTTGTCTCTCTCTCTACAAAATCAAATGCGCCATCATTTAAGCATAAGCATGCGCTGCTCGTTATACAGATCCGTACAAATCTAATGCGAACTATGATATCTGAAACCGAGAGCTCCCAAAACCTGGGAATATTTTGTGGACTGATTAATTTTTCTGCTGAGCTTGATACAACCTTAAGCGATTACATTCAATAGTTAAAGGAACTTCGAAAGAAATACAAAACGATCTACTGGATTGTATTCTTGAAGTTTGTCATGAAGAAATAATAAGACAGATTAACCAAGCCTCGTATTTGGCAATAATAGCAGATGAAACGACGGACATTTCGGGGAAAACCCAACTGGTAACAATTTTCAGATACGTACTTTAACGGCGAACCAGTAGAACGTTTTTCGAATTATATGAATCCCGAAAAATGTGACGCTGATACTATCACAAGACATATTTTGAGTGCCGTAGATCCATTAATAGGAAATTTCCCTAACAAACTGAAGCCGCGGTAATGGGCGGACATAATGCTGGAGTACAGGCAACAATTAAACAAAGATATCCATTTACTCACTATGTGCATTGCTATGCGCATCAGTCAAACCTGATTATGTCCCAAGCTGCTTCCGCAAATGCTCAAACTCGGGTGTTGTTTGGGGATTTGAAAGATATTCCGGGATTTTTTAATAATTCTCCTGAACGCGTAGAGGTACTGAACAGAATTGTGGGGAAAAAATTCCCCAAGGAGCAACAGCTCGATGGAATTTTAATATTCGAACAATAAATGTAGTGTTTGAGAACAGAGAATCACTCATTAAACGCATGAAAGAAATAGAAGAAAATTTCACTAATGAAACCGTTTGCAAGGCAGCTCGCGGTATTCGCCGTATGTTAAACATTCTGGTTTCGTGTTTTGGTTGACATTTTTTCATCATGTCATGCCTCACGTCGACATGTTGTTCAACCAGTTGCAAAAGAGAAAAACCGAGCCAGCGCAAGTTAAAACGGCTATCGATAATTTTGAAAAATGTATTGTCGATGTGAGAAATAAAATTGATGACATAATAAATGAAGCCAAAAGTATTTGCACTGAACCCCAAGGCAACAAAAGGAGACGACGTAATAATAGCAGTCACGATCACCGAGTTGCCGCATTAGAAGTATGCGACAATATAGTGAATTCTACAAATGACAGATTTCAAATCAAAGATCATTTGGTAGCCGCATCCCTTTTTTCCCCGAACACTTTGGAGAATACTGTGGTAAGTTTCCTGATGACAAGTTGAAAGCTACCTGCTTGGCTTATCCCGAATTAGAAAAAAGTCGTTTAAAGACAGAGTGGTTTGTTATTTATGCACGGAATGATTGCCGAGATTTACATGGAACTCTGTCTCTTTTGAAATTTTTTATATACAGGGTGACATCGAAGTTGAGTCATTTATTTTAACAGTGAGTAGATCTGATCAAAAGAAATGTTTTTTTCCTTTAACATTTTTCTGGTAAAATTAAAGTAACAAAGTTATAGCCCTTTAGAAGTTTGAGTACCGCCCTGTCTCTATAATAATATTATGTGCTCGTGTTTGGCAACAACGGATATAATCCGCCTTATCCGTTCATCGCATCGGAAACAAAAAAGCGAAAGAATTTGAAACGATGTTTTTACTACAATGTACAATTTTATTCAGTTGTATTTAGTCAATGTGTCAGTCGGTAACGCGTGAGTGAATAGTGGTGTTTGTTGCGTGGCTCAAACGAAATAAAAAATGCCACATGTTTACGAAAATGCTGAATGTAGTACAAAGGGCTCGTGAATCCGGTGACTTAAGACCTCACAGGGGAGGGCATGCCGGTGCTCCAAGACCACACGATCAAATACAGGTCCGCACTGAAATACTTGTCGGGAGGATACTTTATAAAACAAGGTTACATTTTTTTTTTAATTTTTTTTTTATTTTTACACACATATTTTGGTTTATCTTCCTTCTACAATCATTATCTGAAAATTAATGACTCAACTTCAAAGTCACCCTGTATATAGTTTGGAGGAAACACTAAAAAAAACAATAAAGCTATTAGAAATTATTGTTACAACTCCTATGTCAACATCAGAGGCTGAACGAAATTTCTCAACATTGAAAAGAATCTAGACCTTTCTTCGTAATACTATGACCTAGGATCGCCTTACAGCGATGTCGATGCTGTCCATTGAAAAGGAATTTATTTCGAAGGTGATCGAGAAATTTGCTGCCAAGAAGGAGCGCAGGATCGAACTGACATATAAAAAATAGGTAAGTTAGGATTTGCAGAACACGAGCCGCCACTGCTATGCACTATAATCGACGCTGCAATAGTAAATTCTTGAATAAACTTTCATTGTATTGCAACGTCATTTTCGGTAAGTAGCATATTTATAAAAGTTGAATGTTGCCAGAGTTTCATCTCCAAGCAGGTGCCTTCCTACCCGCTGACCTCTAGAATCATCATATTATGCTTAAGAAAGAGGCAATCCAGGCTATGCCGTAAATTTCAAACATAAAAGGTAGAAAGATACAGAACTGTGAAACTTTTATCACCATATAGCTATAAGAAACTTTGATCTCGGAGCTTGATATATTTTACTTTAGAGTGTAGTGTATATAGAGCCCTACATTTGAGAAATTCTCACGAGACTAAGGGAAAAGAGATGTATACAACCCCTGGGAATTGGATGGATTAAGGGTAAACGAGTTACCCGGCAATTGGCTAATAATTTCGAGTAGAATAAAATAAAATAATAGAATAGGGAGTACCTATAGGTTTATCAGTCGATTTAAAATGATGAACTGATGGCGGCTATTAGCTCTAAAGTAAAAAAGAGATTTTTATGAGTACACTATTAGATTTAACAGAAACGGAAAAGTTTTGACAATTATTTAACTATGTGGTCAAACTTCAGGGAGTAATTCTTTGAGTAATTTTAAGATGACAAGCTTTTATAAAGATAGGTCCAGAAATGCTTCATTTTAAAGATACAGGGTGCCAAACATTTAAAAAAAATCGGTTTTTGCGAAATATCTTGATAAACTTTCAGTCGATTTTGTTTAAGTTTAGCAGTAGTAATAAGTGCAGTAAGGAGCTAATTTAATCCCAATTATATTTAATTTGTCTAGCGACGTCCCGGAGAATACCCTAACCAATATTTTTGACAAAAAAATTGCACGCCACTGACGAATTAAGCAACTAAAAATACTACTTTTTTTATCTCTTGAGTTTCTTTCGTATTTCGCTTCGTTTGCGAGACAAAAAATTAGAAGCACGTTATTGCATATCCCTGGGACAATAACATATCTAATGAAATATTTAGGGCCAATTTTACCAACAACAATCCGTTATTCTCCACCTATAGGGTAACAGGCGGTTAACTACAACGAATGAGCTTCAAGTTCCAATCAACAAATTTTAGCAACCAATAGCTATGAAATGTTGAAAACAAAATACTGTCAAAGTATGAGATGACAACTTGTCATTGAAACATCATCAGCTTATTGAACATTAAGAAATTACATATAATTCAGTCAAAATTTAAACAAATGTTTGATTCTTGAATAAAATTCATGATTTAATTACTATTGTTGATTTTTTATTCATGTCTATATTATTTTCTTCAATTGATATGCGATTTTACTGATTCAAGATCATCTACTGGGTGTTTTTTCCTATAATCCTCTTGCAGATAGTCATTAAGCAACTACTTGATGACTGGCTCTACCAAAAGGTTCATAGATATTGCTCGTTTCCAAACATTCATTCATTTACTTGCCGTTTATCAGAACCATTATGGCACCTTAGATTGATATTCTCACAAAACAATTCTGGTTTTTTAATATCCAAACATCCATAAAGTTGAATATGTTTCGTTGTTAAGGTTCTTAACAAACATCCACACTATATTCACAGCGATTAAGGAATACCCAAATATATGTCGTAGAGCTACCAGCAAACCGAAAACCTGCAGAAAAACTAGAAATTTGCAATATTTTTCTTTTTTCACTGAGTACATATTCTGGGTTATATTTATATTATACGTTATTTGAATCACAAAACATATATACTGATTTGAATAACAGCTGATTATCTCCTGATATTTTAAAACTAACCATATCGACAAGTGACACATAATTCTGTGGGATCCATCAACACTTCGTCCCAGTGGTAGTGGTGTTGGTTATCCTTACTTTCGAGTACTCATTACTAATTGTTACTCTTCTACAAAGTAATCGTTTATTGTATTCGTTACTTTGATTACTATGAGTAGTATGAGTATAACGATTTGGCAATGTGCGTCGTGTGATTAATGTCGAATTTAAACAAGTTGAATGGAACCGAATCTTGTAAGAAAATAGACGACCTTAAAATTTGCAAAATGTTATAAGCATAGTTTATTCAAAACTATCGTGTTTAATACAAATCTTGTATCTTCAAACTGTATGCTTATCGAGATGAGTTATCATAGGATGGTGTGTCATATGACTCATATGAGCCTACAAACTGAAAATACTTTGTATTTACTAGAAATACTTAAAAACATGTCTTTTAGTCAGAAAGATGATCTGTATATGGGCTTAAGGAAATTCGGAATGGCATGTGACTTTTCGAAGCATTTCAATTAAGCATAATATACCAGTATAAAAAATTCTGCGTTGAGCTTGGTCTACACATACTATTGGTGGTCATACTGAATTATATTTTTTTTTAGCAAAACAGTGCATGGAAACACGAGTCAAATTGACATAACCTTTATTATTGTGGTTTTCCTGAACGGTGGTGTTACCTTGTTGTCGCTTTTCTGCCTCATAATACTGCCGAACTTTAATCCGATCCAATCGACTACTTATTCCTTTTCAGGTTCTCGAGTTTCGTATGATTACTTTTTCAACACCACTACCCAGTGGAGCAAACTCTGCCAACTATCGAAATAAACTTTATTAATTCTAAGTCTTATTTTTGTTTCACTGTGCCTGCTTAGATATTCAAATACGGCCAGGAATTATTAGCGACTGGCTATTTTAGGCCTTCAATAACTCCTTATTTTAGATCTCTCCTTATTTTGTTTTTTCCACGCATTCATGGTAGAAAGAAAAATATTTTATCGAATATCGATACCGTATACCGTGCAGCAGGCACGCCTATCACTACTTTGACAGATTGCAGAATGATGTCAAGGTGACAATCGTTATGTGTTTTGTCTGAAATAGGCAAGTAGGCTTTGTGTATTCATTTTTATTTTTATAGCTTTTCCAGAATTTCATATTTCGAAACAATATCAAGGGCCGGCAGGCGAAAATCTTTCTCTATCGTCGCCATCCCTATATTGTATCCCCACCAGTCACTAGTCAAAAACCTTAACCACCAATGTTTTATCACTATTTATAATTCTTTTTAGCTCTTATTTTTCAGTAGTTACTAATAATTTTAGGTATGTGTCGACAGTAATTGCATTATGCACCTCGGAGATGTAGGGATTAACATGTTTTACACATATCGGTGTTTTAGGATGGGGACGACCATAATGTTTTGATTGCTTTGAAGAAATTCATTAACCCATGAATTTATAACAAATTACTATTAAGATGTAAAGAGAGATGAGGAATTGGTTGGAATACATTTTATATTCTATTTTCTTGCAAATCCGCACAATGTGTAGCTATAATGATCATATACATATACACTCAGTATACTGAACTTAACAAATTTCGAGATTGCCATGAATTAACAAACGACCAAAACTGCTGCAAAATTTAACAGCTAGAAAATCGACCTATTATTTCTCCCATTCCCATCCGCTGAGGGGATAACGGATGGTCAAATGTACACCTATAACGTAAATCAAAATACATGAAAGTTGTCCTGTTTTCTCTGTACAACAGCATCATGTTGGAATCAAAAAGTGGTCTTGTTTATAATACAGTCGAATTTTCACGATTTTATTCAACATTTTAATAGAAATCACTGATACTCTGAGACCTTTGACAGCTTCCGTCAAATTGCATTTCGATAAGGTATTTTCCTATTGGTCTATAATATTAATGTTGGTGAAATCGGCCCTTAAACGCTGCAAACTAATTAAGCAATTAACAATAGACGAAAGTCATCTCTTGAATTTTTTCGCACATATTTAAGCCCAATTGGGATAAAACAAAATATCATAAAATAATCGCATAACGTGATAATTTATAACAGCAATGTTTTAAAGGTAACAAAAAACAAGAGTACTATGAAAGGA